CGCCCACCGGCTGCCTGCCAATGCCTGACTTACTGCTGGGTGACAGGAGGCCCCCGGTCTCGCGTTGGTTGGAAGAGCCTGAGAGGTTGGAGCACGAGGCGGGGGAGAAGAGGGAGCCCGAGAAGCCTGAGGTCTGGGAGCTGCTGGGGCTGAGGCTGCGGCTGCCCGCGGGGGCGGGGGAGGCGGCTGGGGAGGGGCCGGCCGCGGCGCCCCCAGGGTGGCAGCCGGAAGAGGAGGTGGAGCCGCTGCCGCCCTCTAGTCTTGAGCCAGAGTCTGGGGAGGTGGGCGGAGGTGGTGTGTGAGCAGATGCCGCTGCGGCACGTGCCAGGCGGCCCTGCGCCCCCCTGGCCCCTCACCCTCGGCCTGGGCCGCCGCCTCCATGGCCTCCAGCCTCTGCAGGTCCCGAAGCCGCTCCTCCAGCAGCCGCTTTTGCTGGTTCCGTTTCCGCCTCATCTTCTTTCTCTTGTTTTTGGACAGCTTACCGGTCTGCCGTTAGAGCCAGGGTCACTCCGGGGTGCCCGTCACCCATCCCCTGAGCAGCCCGAGCCTCTGCCTGTGGCCTGTGGGCCCGGGGGCTCCAGGGACACCAGGCGTGGCAGCACCCCCTCACCCGCCTCCTGTCTCCCCTCCTGCCCGCCACTCCCCAGAGCTTGAGGCTGGGGAGGAACCAGCAGGCCTGCCTGTGGGTGCCAGCCTCCCCTAGGGGCCGCTCCAGCCCCTCCCAGCCTCGGACGCAGTGTCCTTCCACTGAGGCAGGGGCGAGCCCAGCAGCCACCCAGGGCAGTTTGGGGCACGTGGCCCACTCTGCGTATCATCCGCATCCAGGCCACCCAGACGCTTGGAAGTGCCACTGCAGGAGTGCTGGGGAGGGTGGAGAGGCAGGCAAGGGGTGGAACCAGAGAGGCTGAGGAAGGTGAGGCCCAGGAAGAGGGGTGCCCCCACTTACCAGGACCTCCTGGGGGGCACTGCTGACTGGGGTGTGGGGCAGGCAGAGCATGGAGTGACAGAAAGGAACCGAGACTCAGGCAGGAGCTGAGGCCCACAGGCCCCGCCCCGCCCCGCCCCGCCCCGCCCCGCCCCACGCAGGCTCTTGGTACCTGTGGAACGGGATGGGGGCGGGGCCCCTGACCGCTGCCACTCTGTGGCCTCAGCAGCCAGGCGCCTGATGTACGCATCGCCCACACACAGCAGGATGTTTTCAGGCTTGATGTCTGTGTGGATGATCTTACACTTGGTGTGGAGGTAATCCAGGCCGCGCAGCACCTGGGGAGAGCCACTCCTGAGCTCCCCCGGCGCTGCCCAGGCCGCCTCGCAGCGCTTGTCGGCCAGACGCGTGCTGCTCACCTGCTTCACGATGCTCTTCACACAGGGCACGGGCAGGCCCTGGTAGTTGGACTTGATGATCCACTTGAGGAGCTGGTGGCCTAGGACCTCCAATACCATGCACACGTCTTGGGCCGGGAGTGAAGGGCAGTCAGTGGGCAAGCAGCCTTGCACAGGCCCTGCCCACCCTCAGCTGGGGCGGGGGAGCAGTGAGCCTCAGGCAGTGCAGAGCTGGGTCTGGGAGGTCCCGGTATTGCTGCCATCCCGGTGTCATAGTGTCCCTGCCACTCTTAGGTGTGCCAGTTGGGACAGTACCTTCCGCGGTCACCCTAGGGAGAGGGCACTGGAGGAATGGACGGGTTTCTCAGCCCATCCCCAGTCCTACGCCCAAGTCTGCCAAAGAGCCTACGGACAGCCCCCCGAAAGGGAAGGCACTGCCACAGAGGTGGGCCCTCCCACCTGGGGGTAACCCAGCAATGCCCGTGGACAGCCAGTGCCAACCTGGTTATCCGCTCCCTGCCCCCCACACAGAAACACAAATCCCCAAAGTGGTGATGGAGATATTTCGCAGTGTCACTGGAAGGGAGGGATGAACCCCCATCGTGCAGATCAGCAAGCTGAGGCCCTAGGAGCTGGGAAGGCGTGAGCCAGCTGGCCCCTGCGCTGCCACACTGCTTGCTCAGCCTATGAAGGATACGGACTCCATTAACCCCTGAGATCCTGAAGTCGTCGATGAGCTGGACAATGGTTTCTCTTTTGGGGTCACTGGGGTCACTGTCTCGGACCTGGAGCAAAAGCCAAGGGGCCACAGACGGCTGCAACCTGCCCCTCGCCAGCTGCTCCCCGGGCGGCCCCTCCGGGGTGGGGGGCCTCCCTCCCGCCCCAGCTGGGCCCCGCTGGAAGAGAGGCTGCCGCCCGCCCTTGCCCGCTCCTCGGGTCCTCCCACTCCGCGGAGCCAGCTGGAGCCTGCCCCTCCGGGAGCCCTGCCCCCCCCCCGACCCCGCGGAGCCCCGGCAGGCCTCGCACCCACATTGCCAGGCCCTGGGCGGCTCCTGGGGCGCTGGGAGCCGGTAAGGGAGGCGCCTCACACATTTCAGGAGCTTGATCTCATCCACAGCTGTCTCCGTGTAATGCCCTGCACTCTTCACCACCTTGAGGGCCACGAAGCGCTTGCGTCTGCAACACCGAGACCCGCGTCGGCTGCCGGCACCGGCCAGACTCACGGGGCCGTCACCGTGGCCTCAGCGGTGCCTGAGGGCAGGACCCCAGCTGGCGTGGGGCCTCGGGGGGTGGAGGGGGCACTCACTGGATGTCCCAGCAGAGCCAGACGGTGGAGAAGTGGCCCCAGCCCAGCTTGCGCACCACGTGGTACCGCCCATTGAACAGGTCCCCGATCTTCACGGGGTAGTAGCCACCTGGGAAAGGCAGCCCGTCGGGCGCGGTGGGGGTGTTGCCTTCCCCGTGCCCGGGACAGCGCGGCCCGCCGCTGCCCGGCCCACGTGGGCCGGCCCTGGCCCCTCCCCGCGGGCGGCGCCGAGGCAGGCCTCACCCTTGCAGTAGTCCTTGGCATCCTCCTGCTCCTCGTCATCGGAGCCCAGCAGCCCCCGCAGTATCCGTGGCGCCGGCGCGGCGGGGGCCCGTTCAGATCCTGAGGACTCGGGCCCACAGGAGGCCTGCGAGCTGTGGGTGGGGTGGGCGGGCGGTGAGCGCGCGCGCGAGGCGCCAGGGGCCCCGACTGCCCAGGCCGAGCCCTACCTGCTGCTGCTGCTGCCACTGTCCCCGCCGCCGCCCAGCGCACTGGTGCTCATCCCGGCAGCGCTGCCCGCGGCTCCGGCGCCCCGGGCGGCTGCTCCTGTGGGGCCCGGCCTCGGCCTGCGCATTTATAGCCTCGGCCGCTGATCTCACCCGCCTTTATAAATAGCCTCCCAGCTGCTCGGCTGTGGGCAAGGTATGCAGCGGGGAGGGGGCGGCGACGGCGGCCTTGGAGGGCCCAGCCCCCAGGACGAGGCCCCCCGCCCCCCCCCAGGGCTGGCAGAGGGCACCACTCCACGGACACGGTGTGACACATCCTCCACGGTGAGCTCCCTTGCACCCCAGGGCCACGGGGGCCACCCACGCAGGGATGTGATGACCCGGGCCCCAGGCTGAGCCCCTGCACCTCAGGGCTGGCAGAGGGGACTGTTGAGTGGGCATGTGGCGGTGACCTGGTTCTCAGACTGAATCCCTGTATTCCAGAGCCCGCTGATGGGGACAGCCACACAAGGGCACTGTGGGCATGGCAGGCCGGGCTTTCGAAACCCTTCTCACATGCCCTAGGGTGCCGGCGACACTCTGGGAACATTCTCTGGCTTCCTGCTTGACCCTTGGGGGAGCCTTCCCAGAGGCGATCCCTGCCATTCCCACAGGTATCTCATTCCCTGCCCCCTTTTTGCTGGGTCCCCGCTTTTCCGATGGCTCCTCGATCCCCAAGGCAGGCTGGGGCCCTCCTGTCCCTCAGTGTAGCGTCGCTGGGGGCCCTGGCCAGGCAAAGGTCAGGGGCATGAGCTGCGGGCAGCTCTTCCCACCACAGGTGCCGGGCCTGAGTGACGGCCTGGGGATGGCCCGCCCAGGACTCTAGTGCTGCACGGTCTCTCCCGGCTCCCTGCGGCCCAGCCCTGCCTTGCTTACTGGCTCCAACACGTGCACATGTCCACGTAGGAGGCGTAGGGAGCTGTCCTTCCCGGCCCTGCCCTCAGGGGCCCTCAAGTGGGAAGCAAGTAAGCCCACAGCTCTAGTGGGCTAGTGGCAGAGATGTCCGGGTCAGGCGGAGAGCCCTTGGAGCTTGTGACCTTGGGACCCCATCCAAGGGACCAGGAAAGAGAATCGGGTCCCCAGAAAGGGGGTGGGCGGGGAAGCCTCCAGGTAGGCAGCAGGATGGGCTGGAGACCTCCGTGGCTGGCGTGGGTGGGGAAGATGAGGGGAGGCCTTGGGCGGCCAAGGAGCCCCCCGAGCCTGTGGGCACTACTGTGGGCTTCCGGCAGAGACCGGTGGGCACTTTGGCTCTTCAGAAGGAACCCTGGCTGCTCCCAGGAGGGCTGGGGGGCGAAGAGGGGAGCCAGGAGGCCAGCTGGGGACTGTCGGAGTCAGAGGGAAGCGGAGGGGGCCTGGTAGTGACTGGCGACACTTGGTTCTACATCCCTGTGCCAAGGAAAGGACTGGGAGGATGGGATGGCATAGATGGGGGCCTGAGGGCAGGGGCACCTTTACCGCAGGGGTCAGGGGAGGGAGGATAGCAAGGCCTCGGAGTCCTTTTCTTCTCAGGTAGCAGAGGCAGTAGCCCTGGGCCGAGGAGAGGGCTGTGCTGGGGCACTGAAGAGACTCACAGGCGAAGGTGGGGCTGGGCATTGGGCTTCTTCTAAAAAGACATTTCTATTTTATTTCCAGATGTGATGCTCCAGCAAGCACATAAATACAGTGGGGAAGGGGGAGGGAGAAAGGATGGCTATAAGTTAGAAGCCCAGGCGGGGAAGGAGGGAAGCGG